TTTGACGCGCGATTCGCGTCCGGTGTGAACGTAGCATAACACTATTGATCCGTCTAACTTCAGTTGAAACATAAACATTGGAGAAAAAAGAATGTCAAAATGGCCGCTGACCCATGAACTATTGATTGACAGGTCATTTTAGCCAATCGGCGAGTGTTAGGGGTGTCTTCTAAACTCCAACAGCCAACGAGCGTGCCTGGTGAAGATCGGTACCTACCTCTCTTTGAGTGACAGTTTATCTATCCAGTTGCAATAGAGAATGAAATGACGCTATTTTCTGATAGCCAATGAATTTCTGAAAAGACTGAAATGCAGCTTTTGTGGGTGGAATCATCCGATTACATTAGAATAGGTGCGCAAAGCGAGAGTGATTCTCTGCGCGCGTGTGCGTAAACACAACAATCATCACGTGACAGGCTGCGCCACTAAACTGGATATCGCTCATATTTTTTTCTCCCCTCCGATCTCCGATCTAGCGTTCTGGGCCGGTATCGGCGCGATACCGATGCCGTGGATCGGATCGGGACATCCCTAATTATTATTTTTGCATTTTTGGGAGTAGTAACATTTACATAGCCTATGTGGTTTCAACAACCAGATGCATTATTTACACATGTCCAGTTTCATCTGGAATATGGCCAAGACTACCTTCTGATGTGGTTTGAGTGATCGGAGTTTCGGAGTGTATTTACACCTGGTCTTTTCAAGATCGGATACAGAAAACGTATGAAGTGATTTCAGAGCATCCGTTAACTGAATTACTTGAGAATCTCACCTGAAAATCTAATAACATCAGCAATTGTCATTCAAGCAGCTGATTTCTGTATTAGGCATTATATTCATTCATCAGATATTTCAACCCTCTCTATTTATTTGTTGTAAGAAAAAGAGCTTCCCGGACATTACAAAATAATTCATTTCGTGTTACATAGAAGAAAAGTAGATCAAATGGGTTTAGAATTACACAAGAAAACCTTATGAAAAAAAACAACAACAACAACAACAAAAAACTGATTTAGTTATTATTTTGTGCTGTTTAAAACTAGGGTTGACAATAGAATAAAATAATTATGATTACTCTCATTATTTATAAAAATATGAACATTCCAGTGTTAAATCTTGTATAAAACATATTTAGGCCTAATTACAAACTACCTGCATGGTTATTTATTTGGGTTTAGCACACACCTTTGGTAGAATTCAAATGAGCCAGTTTAATCTAGATTAATTTCAAAATTAATCTAGATTAATCTAGATTAAAAAAATGTGTGTGTGTGTGTATATATATATATAAGAAATCTATCAAAAAAAAAACTAGTCTACCTAGTAAATAAAAACATAGAAATATTCAGGAAGTAGGCATTTAGCCTACAGTACTTTGAAAGCAAAAACAACTGAGAAAGAGTTGAGTTGCATAAGAGTGTTTACAGTTATCGAGGAAATGAAACTTCCTTGTCTACAAAATAAGCTGGGGGGACAGAATTAAGTTTTATAGCCACAAAAAGTTACTTCCAAATGTTCACTTTTCAGACTGTGTTTGCTTGAATGCCACGCCCAACACCGACATTTTGACACATGTTATTGTGCGAGACTGCTGCGCGCGAACTATATAAGCATATAGGCGCACGGATATACGAATGGAGTTATTTTTGTCTGCATAGTATTGCTCCCTATTTGAGTTTGTAAATTGATACTGTTTCAATAATAAAAAAAGACTGTGATGCGCGCCCTCAAAGCCCGGGCTTGCGTTCCTGTTTATCTCAGTCTCAAAGTCGTGCGCGCACCCTGCATGAAAAGAGCAAAGACTCTAAAAAGGATAAGAGCGAGTGATCTCCTTTGCGTTTCAATAGCATTCACTTTTAAAAACTTGTTTACGTCTGAAAATAACGTTACCGGCTTTGAATGTTTAGTTTGTTTGCGCCTTAAGACTAGAGCACAAACTAAACATTCAAAGCGGGTAACGTTGCGCTTGTTCCCTTTCAGGTGCGCACCTGAAAGTAAACAAGCTTGGATTTCTAATTCGATTTAGAAAAAATAGCCAATAACTTACCAAGTTGGAAAACCCACACTGCGAAAATGAGTAAGTTCATCGCCACTCTTCTTCTTCTTTGAGGTTATTGGCGGTTCGCATTCTTAAAAAGAGCATTACCGCCATCTACTGCAGGAATAGATCAGAGACACACTTATACCACAACTCCCAGAACAATCAGGACTTGTGCTTTCAATGTTGCTGCGTGTTCAGCTCCTCCATTTACAGCCAAAGTCCATCATCTTCCAGAGAAGGATACTGATACTAATAATACTAGCCTATCTATATTCTAAAGATCAAATTTGTTCTACTTAAAAACTTTATTATTAACCTACTCCCCTCTGCTGAGTTTAAAACCATCTTTAACGTTAATTGTTGATTATCTTTAAACTTAAATTCTTCAATCAGTTTACTTCTTTCCTCAGAATATTTATTACACTTAATAAGTACATGCTCCACTGTTTCTCTGATTCCACACCATTCACATAATCCTGTAGGATGTTTTCCAATTATTTGCATTGTTGAATTAAGTCCTGTATGTCCCAGTCTTAATAATACAGTCTTCCTTCCTTCTCCCAAATGAATTCCTTCCTCTACCTACCAATGGTTGTATTAAATGTAAATGTCTACCTTTTTCCTCATTATCCCAATACGATTGCCAATTTTTATTTATCTCCCTTTTAATTATTGATTTCATTTCTAATTTACTATACCCAATTTGAATATGTATATTTTCCTTTGCCATAGAGTGTTTTGCTAGTTTATCTGCTGCTTCATTTCCAGACACTCCAGTATGTGCCGGAACCCATAAAAACTGAACTGAACCCATAAAAACTGAAAATCTTATTTTTTTGTTGCATCATAAACAATATCTGTAATATTTCCAACACAATATCCTGTCTAGTATCTGATTTTTGAGCTTCTAGGCACATCAAGGCTGAACTTGAATCTGAGCATATTAAAGTTTTATTTATCCCCATTTCACTTATTTTATTAATTGCTACCATAATTGCTAGTAGCTCTCCTGTAAACACTGATACATGGTCTGATACTCTTTCCCCTCTTGCCACTTTCAATCTGGGAATGATATATGCTACCCCTACCTGTCCCTTCTGTGGATCCTTAGATGCATCTGTGAAAACCTTTATATATTGTTCATATTTAATACCAATATACTCTTTTGCCATCTCTGCTTCCGACATCCTCTGTTCTTTATCTTTTCTTGATTCCAATAAGAATAGATCTACATATGGTTGAGGTAAAATCCATAATGGTGTTATTGGTAATATTACTGCTGGAATAACTCTATACTCATCTAATTTCATACTCTGAACTAAATCCTTAATAATCCAACCAAAACTGTTAACTTTTCCTTTCCCATATTCCCAACATGTTTCCATTATACCTTTTGTTGGATGATTATCCTTCTGCCCTTTTAGGTTTATCCAGTATGTCAGTATCAATTGTTTCCTTCTTAAGTGAATTGGCATCTCCCCCATCTCCACCTGTAAAGCTGAAACAGGAGATGACGGATAAGCTCCACAACATATTCTCAAAGCTCGTGATTGGATTCGTTCCAATTTTCCTAGCTGTGACTTAGTTGCTGTTCCATATGCGATACAACCATAATCTAGTACTGCTCTTATCATTGTTGAATAAATTGTTTTTTAATGCAACCCTATCAGCTCCCCATTCTCGTCCTGAAATACACCTCATTACATTTAAGATCTTCTTACATTTATCCTCCATCTTATTTATGTGTACATTCCACACTCTTAAAAGAGATTGAACCTTTGGGGTTCAAAAAAGAACTTTAAAGTGCAAAAATGAACTTCTAAATGTAAAAAAGGTTCAAAGTTGAACCTATAGGTTCTTTAATGATCCTCTGATTATTTGGCACATGTTGTCAGTTCATTTTAGAACCTTTGTTGTGGCAGAAGGGTTCATATAAGAACCTGGCCTGTTGTTAAGGTTCCTTTTTGAACCTCATAAGATGGACTGTAAAAGAATGATTGTTTTGTTTTTAGGCCCTTGCTTTGCTAATAGCCCCTGAACATACAAGAATGAAACTTTTACATTTTTACACATTAAAAGTACTTGATCATTAAAGATGCTCCATAATGTTGTTCACCCTATTCGTTTTAAAATTACTTTGTAAGCAAAATTACACTCCTACACCCCTGCTTTCAAGTTGATAACATTGTTTTTTTATAGAGATGTCAAATTATAATTCAGTAAACATTACTCAAAAATATTTCTGTAAATTGCAAAGTGACAAACCTTTGCTCTTATTTTTATTTTACAGTTCTCTTTTATTTATTTCTTTTTAGACATGCCTAGTCTATTGAAATGTCAGGCTATTAATTAATTCCTCTTCACACAAAACAATTTTCAGCGGTTCTTCAGTGGTTCTTTATGGTGGTAGAGGTGCTATATAGCACCACTACCATAAAAAGAACCAGTTCAGCCCAGTATGTGTCTATAGTGGTTCTTTGTATAGTCGAGGTCCTATAGTACCTCAACTATTCAAAGAATATTTTAAGGCCCTGTATGGTTCTTTAAAGGTTTTATAAACTGTCTTCTCATAGAAATTTAGAAATAATTGAACACAATAAAACAATGTATTTCCTGAGGATGACACATTAAAGCAAAATAAATAAATGCAACAGAAAAAATGGATCTATCCGGAGCTCCCGAGAAGAAAAAACGTCTTCGTTCATTCAATAAGGGATGGGAGAAAAAAAATCAAAAGAAAAATCAAAGTGATGGTATAAAAATAAAGCATTTTTCATACAACTCATACAACTACACAATGAGTTTTAAATTCATAATTTAAAATTAATAATAAATACTTTAAATTGTCATATATAATGCTAGATGTTTATTTAAATGCCGCGTGCCTTTTAAAGTGTTCTGGTTTTAATGCGCGTGCGCGTAAACAGTCACATTCAGGAGCGCGCGCCGCGCGATCAAAACAAGGAAACATCAACTGACAAACTGCAAAAATAACTTCTCGCGCTGTTGATTTCGCTGCTTTCAGGTAAGTTTACTTAACATATAATAAATACAAATGTCCCTGACACCTTTCTTATGTGTAATTAATACACTTCTGTTGAATATTTACTTTATAGAAATGGTTTTGTGTCTTCGAAAAAGTCCGTTAGCATCACATCCGTTTTAAGAAGAGGTAAGTTAAGTTAACGTTGCACTGGACCTCTCGTTTTATATAAGTTTGGGGGGTTTTAACTACATCTTTGTGTTGATAACAGTTTTTGATAGTTTTGTTTTGCTGAAAATTTCTCAATGGGTGATTTGAAGTAAGCTAATTTATTTAACCTAAAATAATTCACTGTAACGTTACTGTTAATCAGTGACGTCACTCACAACAAAGGGGGGAATTATTTTTTAATCATGATAATAATTCCATATGATTTATTTCACAATATATATTACCCTAAGATATGTATATTAACTGCATTTCATCTCTGCTCGGTGCTCTAGCGTGCTTCATTGTAATAAACCCTATGTTCTATTGTAAATCCTATGTAACCTTGTTGGCACATTGCATGTTATGTTCTAGAAGATCTTGCTGGTGGCCTGTTGCACCCCCTGTCCAAGAAAATCTCCACGGCTATGAACTCAACTAGAAAGCAAAACCTCAAACATACAGTGCACTACGGTTCAAAATTTGGGGGACTGTGGGATTTATGCTTTTGAATGAAGTCTCTCACTTTAAAATTATTAACCCCAGTTTTTTTCAGTGAGACTGTCCTTGAGAAACCTGTAGGCTAAATAATCAGCTAATATAATATAATGTTATTATACACATTATAATGTTATAATAGCAAATATAATGTTATAATAGTCATAGTTATAATAATTAATTTAACTATTATGATAACAGGATATCATGGTCATTGGTATATTTTATTTTATTTCTCTAGGTGTGTTTTTAATTATGTTGGCCAATGAGACAGACACCATACTGTCCAACTCAAAGGTATTTATTTATTTTTATGTATTTTTTACTGATAAATACTGAAATTCTTTAATTCAGGGGATCGTAAAGTAATGGCTATGCTCTTGTTACCAGATGAGATATAATCGTTTGCCCCTGTGATTCTTCAGGACAAGATCTTGATCCACATTCAGACATGAAGAAGGTGAGTTTCGCAAAAGCTGCCACTATCACTAATCAAGAGACAGAACACAACAGGCCTTTATCCATATGAACTCACCCATATGTAGGGATGGGTACCGAAACCCGGTGTTAAACATTAAACGGGCCCTGGGGTTCTGTTGTCAAGCCGCCTTCTCAAGTCTGCAGTGTGACCAGTTGATGTAAGATGCTGCTGACGTGTGTCTATGTATTCGGGTTCAAATAAATATGGCTGGGCATAAAAATGCAAGTCTTTACCTTAGACATCCTTAGAACAAAGAATTTTTGTTTACAGCATGTCTCCCTCAGACTAACCGAAGCTCAGGCACACCAGACATACGTCAGCAGCGTCTTACGTCAGGAGCGGCACTGAATGCGGATCCACAACAGAACTGGAAGACAATACAATGCTGAATAAAGTCGTAGTTTTTGTTATTTTTGGACCAAAATGTATTTTCGATGCTTCAAAACATTCAAACTAACCCATTGATGTCACATGGACTACTTTGATGATGTCTTTATTTCCTTTCTGGACAAGGACAGTATACCGTACATACATTTACAATGGAGGAACAGAAAGCTCTCAGGTTAAATCTAAAATATCTTAAACTGTGTTCCGAAAATGAACGGATGTCTTACGGGCTTGGGACGACACGAGGGAGAGTCATTAATTACATAATTTTACCCTAAGGCTTAACCCTTTAAGGCTTAATTCTATAAAGTTTGTCATTTCCGTGAACGAATCGACACTAAATAGAGACTGGCAGTATAAACACACACACCACTGCCACTGCAATTTTTTTTATTACGGACGAAAGTTTTGTTGACAGTGTGCAAGTGTGATTGACATAACGTGAGGTCGATATTTTATATAAACATGACTCACACTTTACAGACTCATATCGTGTGTATGTTCCCTGGTGTCCATTAGATGTCCTCTTTCTGTGACCTTCACGTTTGGAACTACATTCCCCACAATCTTTGTCTGCGCTCATCACTGTTCATTCCACTCAGCTGTTCCCCATCATGATTGTCATGTTCTGTGTGTATAAATACCCTGCCTGTTTAGTGCTTGCCTCAGCAGCCTCTTCCGGAGGCCGATCCAGAGACTGTTCACGTCATGTCTGCCCAGCCAGAGACTGTTCACGTCGTTCAGGAGACTGTTCACGGATCAGGAGATGGCCATTCTCTGGGCCGCGGGGTCACTGGCTGACTATTTGGAGCGTCTGGCTCGGATCCAGGAGAGGCCTTTCAGACCTTTTGTGTCCGTGGTTCCTTAGCCGGAGCCAGTGTCTGCCTGTTCCTGAGCTGAAGCCAGTGTCTGCTGTTCCTGAGCTGGAGCCAGTGTCTGCTGTTCCTGAGCCGGAGCCAGTGTCTGCTGTTCCTGAGCCGGAGCCAGTGTCTGCTGTTCCTGAGCCGGAGCCAGTGTCTGCCTGTTCCTGAGCCGGAGCCAGTGTCTGCTGTTCCTGAGCCGGAGCCAGTGTCTGCTGTTCCTGAGCCGGAGCCAGTGTCTGCTGTTCCTGAGCCGGAGCCAGTGTCTGCCTGTTCCTGAGCCGGAGCCAGTGTCTGCTGTTCCTGAGCTGGAGCCAGTGTCTGCTGTTCCTGAGCCGGAGCCAGTGTCTGCTGTTCCTGAGCTGGAGCCAGTGTCTGCTGTTCCTGAGCTGGAGTCAGTGTCTGCTGTTCCTGAGCCGGAGCCAGTGTCATGCTGTTCCTGAGCTGGAGCCAGTGTCTGCTGTTCCTGAGCCGGAGCCAGTGTCTGCTGTTCCTGAGCCGGAGCCAGTGTCTGCCTGTTCCTGAGCTGGAGCCAGTGTCTGCTGTTCCTGAGCTGGAGTCAGTGTCTGCTGTTCCTGAGCTGGAGTCAGTGTCTGCTGTTCCTGAGCCGGAGCCAGTGTCTGCTGTTCCTGAGCCGGAGCCAGTGTCTGCTGTTCCTGAGCCGGAGCCAGTGTCTGCCTGTTCCTGAGCTGGAGCCAGTGTCTGCTGTTCCTGAGCCGGAGCCAGTGTCTGCTGTTCCTGAGCTGGAGCCAGTGTCTGCTGTTCCTGAGCCGGAGCCAGTGTCTGCCTGTTCCTGAGCCGGAGCCAGTGTCTGCTGTTCCTGAGCTGGAGCCAGTGTCATCTGTTCCTGAGCTGGAGCCAGTGTCATCTGTTCCTGAGCTGGAGCCAGTGTCTCTGTTCCTGAGCGGAGCCAGTGTCATCTGTTCCTGAGCCGGAGCCAGTGTCATCTGTTCCTGAGCTGGAGTCAGTGTCATCTGTTCCTGAGCTGGAGCCAGTGTCATCTGTTCCTGAGCTGGAGCCAGTGTCATCTGTTCCTGAGCTGGAGCCAGTGTCATCTGTTCCTGAGCTGGAGCCAGTGTCATCTGTTCCTGAGCTGGAGCCAGTGTCTGCTGTTCCTGAGCGGAGCCAGTGTCATCTGTTCCTCCTGAGCCGGAGCCAGTGTCATCTGTTCCTGAGCCGGAGTCAGTGTCTGCCTGTTCCTGAGCCGGAGCCAGTGTCTGCTGTTCCTGAGCTGGAGTCAGTGTCTGTCTGTTCCTGAGCCGGAGCCAGTGTCTGCCTGTTCCTGAGCCGGAGCCAGTGTCATCTGTTCCTGAGCTGGAGCCAGTGTCATGCTGTTCCTGAGCCGGAGCCAGTGTCATCTGTTCCTGAGCTGGAGTCAGTGTCATCTGTTCCTGAGCCGGAGCCAGTGTCATCTGTTCCTGAGCCGGAGCCAGTGTCATCTGTTCCTGAGCTGGAGTCAGTGTCATCTGTTCCTGAGCTGGAGCCAGTGTCATCTGTTCCTGAGCTGGAGCCAGTGTCATCTGTTCCTGAGCTGGAGCCAGTGTCATCTGTTCCTGAGCTGGAGCCAGTGTCATCTGTTCCTGAGCTGGAGCCAGTGTCTGCCTGTTCCTGAGCCGGAGCCAGTGTCATGCTGTTCCTGAGCCGGAGCCAGTGTCATCTGTTCCTGAGCCGGAGCCAGTGTCTGCTCTGTTCCTGAGCGGAGCCAGTGTCTGCCTGTTCCTGAGCCGGAGCCAGTGTCATCTGTTCCTGAGCTGGAGCCAGTGTCATCTGTTCCTGAGCCGGAGCCAGTGTCTGTCTGTTCCTGAGCTGGAGCCAGTGTCTGCTGTTCCTGAGCTGGAGCCAGTGTCATCCTTCCTGAGCTGGAGCCAGTGTCTCTGTTCCTGAGCTGGAGCCAGTGTCTGCTGTTCCTGAGCTGGAGTCAGTGTCTCTGTTCCTGAGCCGGAGCCAGTGTCTGCCTGTTCCTGAGCTGGAGCCAGTGTCTGCTGTTTCCTGAGCCGGAGCCAGTGTCCTGCTGTTCCTGAGCTGGAGCCAGTGTCATCTGTTCCTGAGCCGGAGCCAGTGTCTGCTGTTCCTGAGCCGGAGCCAGTGTCTGCTGTTCCTGAGCCGGAGCAGTGTCTGCTGTTCCTGAGCTGGAGCCAGTGTCTGCTGTTCCTGAGCGGAGCCAGTGTCTGCTGTTCCTGAGCTGGAGCCAGTGTCTGCCTGTTCCTGAGCTGGAGCCAGTGTCATCTGTTCCTGAGCTGGAGCCAGTGTCATCTGTTCCTGAGCTGGAGCCAGTGTCTGCCTGTTCCGAGCTGGAGCCAGTGTCATGCTGTTCCTGAGCTGGAGCCAGTGTCTCTGTTCCTGAGCTGGAGCCAGTGTCTGCTGTTCCTGAGCTGGAGCCAGTGTCATCTGTTCCTGAGCTGGAGCCAGTGTCTGCCTGTTCCTGAGCTGGAGCCAGTGTCTGCTGTTCCTGAGCTGGAGCCAGTGTCTGCCTGTTCCTGAGCCGGAGCCAGTGTCTCCTGTTCCTGAGCTGGAGCCAGTGTCTGCTGTTCCTGAGCCGGAGCCAGTGTCATCTGTTCCTGAGCTGGAGTCAGTGTCGTCTGTTCCTGAGCCGGAGCCAGTGTCGTCTGTTCCTGAGCCGGAGCCAGTGTCGTCTGTTCCTGAGCCGGAGCCAGTGGCGTCTAGGGCTTGGTATTGTCAAGGGCATCCCGATACGCATCACGATACATGGGTCATGATACGATGGATACCACGATACAATACAATAGATACATATTACGATTATTGCAATATTTATATTTTTTTTACCTCCTACAACCGGAAAAAAAGTACTGGAAGACAATACAGTACATTCAATTTATTGCACTCAGCTGTTCGCCATCATGATTGTCATTCTGTGTGTATAAATACCCTGCTGTTTAGTGTTTGTTACGGAGTTATGTATATTGTCCCCCACATTTCCTTGTCTTTGAGCCTGTTTCTAGTATTTGTCTTATGTTTTTTGGATTGCGTTTTTGGATTTTGACCTTTGTCTGGACTGGATTGTGAGTACGGATTATCCTAATAAATTTACTGCAATTGAATCTCTCTCTCCTGTGTGTGTGTCGTGACACACAGACCTAATTTCAACGCAAACAATAGGTTTTGTTGCTTCCCACAAACTATGCTGTCAAAAAAAAATTACATTTATTTTTAGCTAATGGCCAAAAGTATTTGAGCAGTTGTATGATGGGAGTTAAATTAATTTGTTTACTCATAAGGTTTGCCTTCAGATAAATGTGAGAAGATGGTTAATACTTGTGTCCTCTCTTCCCCAGGGCCATGCTCAGACCAGCACTCCTGGCATCTCAACACCCAAGATGGTGCTTAAAGGGATACTCCACTTTTTTTGGTAATATGTTTATTTTACAACTCCCCCAGAGTTAAACTGTTGAGTTTTACCTTTTTTGAATCCTTTCAGCCGATCTCCGGTTCTGGCGGTACCACTTTTAGCATAGCTTAGCATACATCATTGAAGTGCACTAGACCATTAGCATTTCTCCCCAAAAAAATTACCAAAGTGTTTCGATATTTTTCCTATTTAAAACTTAACTCTTCTGTATTTACATCGTGCACTAAGACAGACGGAAAAAGTAAAGTTGCGATTTTCTAGGCTGATATGACTAGGAACTATACTCTCATTCCTGCGTAATAATCAGGAAACTTCACTGCCGTACCATGAGTGCAGCAGGCGCAATGACTACACAAACTTAGTCCCGGTCATGTTAGACGCTGGGGACTATTTTCAAGCACTGCGTCATAACATTACGCCTGCTGCACTCATGGTACGGCAGTGAAGTTTCCTGATTATTACGCAGGAATGAGAGTATAGTTCCTAGTCATATCAGCCTAGAAAATCGCAACTTTACATTTTCCGTCGGTTTTAATGCACGATGTAACAACAAAAGAGTCAAGTTTTAAACAGGAAAAATATCTAAACACTTTGGTAATTTTTTTCTGAGAAATGCTAATGGTCTTGTCCTCTTCAATGATTTATGCTAAGCTATGCTAAAAGTGCTACTGCCAGAACCGGAGATCGGCTGAATGGATTCAAAAAAGGTAAAACTCAACAGTTTAACTCTGGAGGAGTTGTAAAATGAGCCTATTTCCAAAAAAAGTGGAGTATCCCTTTAAAGGCTGCAGGGAAGGTCATCCAGTGCAGTATGACCACATTGTGCTCACTATGGATGGGCAGGTAATCACAGAAGAGAGCGAGGACATCTTGATGGGATTGGGTCTCGTCCTGTGTGTTTTATTTTGTGTTTGGGATCCAGTATCCTAAAGGACTCAAGAAGACACTGACCTTTTTGGAGTGTGTTACATTGAAACTGAAAGATGCAGCCAGACTTCCTGTCACAAAAATTAGACTTTAGGACTCAATAATCTCTTTCTGGATGGCCAGTTCAAGAAAACAAGCACGTTTACACTGATGCATGATGTAAATACATGATGTAAATATATTAAATGGGTTAATATTTATTGTGAATATTCAATTGCATTCTGTTTTAATTTTTTCATGAAATATAATATTCTATTAATTGTAATAAGTCATAATTAATTTGTACTTTCTGTCTTGTGTTCAAATTTGTACATGACTATATTAAATAAATATTTCAAGAAGAATAATAGGTTGTGTCTGTGTTGTGAAATGGGATTAAAGTAGTAAAGTATAATAATAATAATTTCAAACATACATATCTACATACATATACATACCGAAATCATGTCTAAAAAGGTTCAAAATGGAACCCATGCGGTTCATTAATGCACCTTTAAGGGAAGGTTCCAATTAGAACCTTTTCAAAAAGGTTCAAAAATGAACCTTAAGGTTCCCCCACAGTTGCAATTTCCAGGAACCTCAAAAGGTTCATTTTTGAACCTTTCTTCTTAGAGTTCTTTCTTCTACCTTTCTTCTTATATAAACTGCAAAGGTAAAGTATAAATTAAAATGATTGTGACCGATGTGAAGGGGGAGGAGAATTGACACGTGCGTCACGTTTAGTCAACATTACAGTTCCGCGTAGGATGCACCTGTGTATCCTCGCTTGTGACTCCTCAGATGTCCTTCAAGATTCGCCTTATTCACTTGGCGGCCATTTTGAAAATGGAACGCCGCTGAGGGGTACACTCACCCGGAAGGATGCATGCGACGCAGCAGCACCAGCAATGAAAACTCGCAGTGCGGACCACCAATCATTCCTGTCTGCCCGAATTAACNCCCTGCGGTGTCATTCGCCTTTGGAAATGCATTCCCCACAATCCTTGTCTGCGCTCATCACTGTTCATTGCACTCAGCTCTTCCCCATCTTGATTGTCATGTTCTGTGTGTTTAAAATACCCTGCTTGTTTAGTGTTTGTTACGGAGCCCTTGTTGTTCACTCTATGAGCAAAGCAATGAGTAATACACACTTGAGCAGAGATGATCAAACACACACATATACACATACACATAAATACATCAGTGGGCAGCCCAGGTAGTTTATTCCCTCACCTACCACTGTTCACAAGTCTGCTTCAATAACCTTTAGGCTAGGCAGTAGTATACTTAGGCTACATTTCGGCTATGAAATCACTGAATTTGATGTCTTAAGGGCAGTTTATTCTAGGAATGATAACTATAACCATAACGATAAAAGTGTCCAGACTGTCTAACGCTAAGCAAAGTCTCATTTAAAAGTCAAAGTCCACTCACAAAGTTGTTAACAAATGTGATGGCTAAGATGTGATGGGTTCTTATTGGCTATTAGCTTTTTATAGTTCTCGAAATCGCTTTAAAAGTGATGCCCAAAAATAATGTTCTTCATGTTGTTTATCATAGTTTATCACGTTTATGAAACTATATATATATTTTTATAGTTATCGTTCTTGGCGTGAATGGCCCTTTTGACGTTTTCAAAGTTCGAGGACAATATTTAATATTCTTCCCCAAGAATTTGTTAAAGTTTCTTGACATTTATGGTTATTAATATATAAATATTTTTTTGTCATTTAAGGTTGTCAGAAATGTGACCCCATAACAGGACAAAGGATAAATGAGGTAAGATTGAAATTTTATATTTTTCATTAGGCTGTCTGATCATCTGTCAATTGTCTGTGGCTCATCTGGCATTTCACATATCACAAAATACTGACCATTTAAGCAAGTGGTTACCAACTTCAGTCATCTTCACCCCCCACCCCCACTACATTTTAAATTAACTGCTGTGCTTTTTACATTATCTTCATATTTTAAAAGAAGTCTTGAGTTAAGAATACCACACATTTTCTGAGTCCATTTTTAAAGCAGACATCATCACTGCAACTGGTCCTTAACAACAAGGCAAAGCAAATGTAAGAAAACAGGGCCACAGCACACTATATTATCATGACATAATTATTAGCCTTCAAAATCTCCAATATTATTAATGGTTTAATAATTTACTATTAGTTATTGGTAATAATAACAATAATTTGACATTCAAAACCTGATTACATGCATGTTTCTTTCTGTAGGAGCAAGCAGAAGTTAAGGTGGAATGGTTACCTTGCTCTGAATGGTAAGTACTGCTTTATATTGGTTTAAATTGCCTTCATACATGTTCTTCTGTTTCCACTTTTCCACTTTTTTGTTAACCATCTCATAGATAGTGGATAAAGAATGAATGAATAGTGCAAATACAACAGTGCAAATACAATCAGAGTTTTGCTTTCGTGTAGTTTTGCATCAGTAGTAATAAACAATAAAAGTGCATGTGAGCAGTGATTGTGTAGCTATATAGAGGAGTTGCATGTATGTTTCACTGCAAGGGAATGGAAGGGGTGATAGCTTTCAAAACTCTGGGAAAAAACTGTTTTTGAGTCTAGTTGTAGTGGTCTTGATGCTTCTGTACCGCCTTCCCGAAGGAAGTGGTACAAACAGTCTATTTCCTGGGTGGACGGGATCCGCCACGATGCAGCTGGCCCTCTGAAGAAAAGAGCGTTGTTGCGCCTTCTTCACCAGGTGTGATGTATTAACCGACCAGGACAGGTCAGATGAAATATGGATTCCCAGGAACGTAATACTATCCACACGCTCCACTACATCCCCCCGTATACAAAGAGGAGCGTGCTCTGTCTTCCTGGACCATCTGAAGTCCACTAAGACTTCTTTGGTCTTGTTGGTATTCAAAATAAGATTATTTGTTTAACACAATATATCAGGTGCTGGATCTCCTCTCTGTATTGAGTCTCATCATTGTCAGTTATGAGACCAACCACGATGGTGTCATCCGCAAACTTCACGAGCATGTTTGTGGAGTGAATAGCAAGACAGTCTTGAGTAAAAAGGCTGAAGAGGACCGGGCTGAGCACACAGCCCTGCGGTGTTCCAGTGTTCAGGATCAGAGTGGAAGATGTAAGGTTCCCTATCCTCACCACCTGTGGATGGTTCGTGAGAAAATCCCTGATCCAGGAACACAGTGAAACTTATAGTCCCAGGTTGAGGAGCTTCAGCACCAGCATATCTGGGAGAACTGTGTTAAAAGCTGAGCTGAAGTCCACAAATAACATATATCCATCCATCCATCTTCTTCCGCTCATCCGGGGCCGGGTCGCGGGGGCAGCAGTCTAAGCAGACATGCCCAGACTTCCCTCTCCCTAGACACTTCCTCCAGCACTTCTGGGGGGACACCGAGGCGTTCCCAGGCAAGCTGGGAGACATAGTCTCTCCAGCGTGTCCTAGGTCTTCCCCGGGGCCTCCGCCCAGTGGGATGTGCCTGGAACACCTCCCCGGGGAGGCATCCGGAACAAATGCCCAAGTCACCTCAGCTGACCCCTCTCGATGTGGAGGAGCAGCGTCTCTACTCTGAGCTCCTTCGAGTGGCCGAGCTTCTCACCCTATCTCTAAGGGATCGCCCAGCCACCCTGCGGAGAAAGCTCATTTCGGCCGCCTATATCCGGGATCTTGTCCTTTCAGTCATGACCCAAAGCTCATGACCATAGGTGAGAGTAGGAACGTAGATTGACCGGTAAATCGAGAGCTTTGCCTAATGGCTCAGCTCCTTCTTTACCACAACAGACCAGTACATCGACCGTATTGCTGCAGAAGCTGCACCGATCCGTCTGTCAATCTTCGTTCCATCCTTCCCTCACTCGTGAGGAAGGATTTCTTCACCAACCTGAAGTGAGCAAGCCACCCTTTTCCGACTGATTTGGAGGTGCTGATCTTCATCCCAGCCGCTTCACACTCGGCTGCAAACCGTCCAGTGCATGCTGAAGGTCCTGGTGCGACAACATCATCCGCAAAGAGCAGAGACGAAATCATGTGGTCCCCAAACCTGACACCCTCCGGCCCCTGGCTGCGCCTAGAAATTCTGTCCATAAAAATTATGAACAGAACCTGCGACAAAGGGCAGCCCTGCC